CCCACGTTCCACCTGTAATTATTTTATTTCTTCAGATGGAGAGATGAGATGAGAGCTTTATGTAAGCTGTGGGAAACATCATCTTGGGTTGAGCCCAGAGCATTTCTTTCTTTGTTCAAACTATTCCTAGGCCTTGGCCTGGGAGCTTCTAGGCTCTATACACTCTAATCTTGCAAGATGTCTGATTCAATCCAGCTTCTCCCAGCTTCACACTGAATTGCTCTACTTGGTCTCATACTAACTTTAGCAATATGTTCTAGCCTTCTGGCTTCTTATTCTCTGGCTCCTTCTATCTTTACCTATTTCTAGTTTGTTCTGTCTTTGTGAAACTGACACACACACACACACACACACACACACACACACACACACCCTTCCCTCTACGAGAGAGCCTTTCTTTATTTCTTAAGTAGACTCTCTTTCCTGTGCTATTCTTGTGAGAGATGGGCATATCTGATCTCAGACTCATTCTGTCAAATTTTTCTCTGATTCATCACTATTTCTGCCCCTCAATTACACATGGCTAATTCTACAAACTAACTTTCTACAGACTAATTTTACCTTTATTGTTTCTTCTACAAAGTAACCTTACCTTTATTGCTTAGAGTAAAAGGTGTGTACTAAGGGCATGTCTGTATCCCAAACAAGTCATATTGTAAACAAGACATGTCTGGATTCCATTTGGATCATAATATACTTAGAAAGTCTTCGAATGTGATCACTTGCCAGAGCAGCCATGTTGCTAGATTAAAATTCCTCTATGTTCATCTGAGCTCTGTAGCAAGGAACCTCCTATGATCTCCTTTTTTTTCTCTGACCCCAACCCCAGTGGATCACAAAGTCCTTTTCCTGCAACTTTCCTTCCCCCAGACTCAACACAGCATCACAGCCTCTAACAGCAATAGGCATCCCCTGTAAACACACCAGCTCTGCAGGACAGGGGAACAAGCACCACACAACATCACACTCACTGGAAGCCCAGAGAGGAAACAGAAACAAAAGAACAAAAAAAAAAATCCACCTACCAAAGACATATTCAGAAATCAGCAACTGGACTTACAATCATCCCAAACCTAGATGTCTAGATGCCAGCATAAACAGCCAGGGCATTAGGTCTCCATTGGGGCCCAGTTATCTTACCACAGCAAGTCCTGAGTATCTAACATAGCTGGAACACAAGAAAAAGATCTTAAAATCAGCTACATGATCCTTAAAGATGAAATGAATAAATCTCTTAAAGAAATCTAGGAAAACACAAACAAGCAGTAAAGGCAAACAAATACAACCATTCAAGACCTGAAAGTTAAAGTAGGAATTATAAAGAAAACCCAAGATGGGGAAAATCTGGAAATGAAAAATTTAGGAATTCAGAATACTGGAGCTAATAGAAGTTACAAGTGAAATGGACCTAACAGATATGTATATATCATTTCACTAAAACACAAAAGAATATACAATCTTTTCTGTACCTCAAAGAATTTTCTCCACAATTGATCATATACTTGGACACAAAGTAAGTATCAGTACAATCAAGAAAGTTGAAATAACTTCTGTTAGACCACCAAGGATTAAATTATATACCACCAACAACAGAAACAACAGAAAGCTTATGAACTCATGGAAACTGAATAGCACTCTACTGAATGACTACCATGTCAAGTAAAAAAGATACAGAACAGCAAGACTTTCTAGAGCTCAATGAAAATGAATACACAGCATTCCCGTAATTATGGGACAAAAATAAAGTGGTGCTAAGAGGAAATTTAATAGCACTATGTGCTTACATTAAAAAAAAAATGGAGCGGTCTCTAGCAACTTAACAACACACCTGAAATCTCTAGAATAAAAAGAAGTACTCAGAACCAAAAGAAGACAGCAGGAAATAATCAAACTGAAGGCTGAAATCATTAAATAGATACAAAGAGAACAATGCAAAGAATCAATGTGAAGAGAAAGTTCCTTGAGTAAATCAACAAGACAGGCAAACTCTTATCCAAACTGACTAAAAGGCAGTGAGAGACTATCCAAATTAACAAAATCAGAAACCAAAAAGGTCGGAGGGGGGGGGGGAGACATAGCAACCAATACTGAGGAAATCTAGAGAATCATAAAGATGTACCTTAAAAACCTATACTCCACCAAATTGGAAAATCTAAAAGAAATGGATAGATATCACTTACTAAAGTTAAATTATGATTTGATAAGCAATTTCCATAGAATTACAGCCCATAGTGAAATAAAAGCAGTCATTTAAACTATCACAAACAAACAAACAAGCAAACGGCCCAGGGATAGATGGCTTTAGCACAAAATTCTACCAAAATTTTAAAGAAGAGTTAGTACCAACATTCCTCAAATTATTCCACAAAATAGAAACAGAAGTCGTACTGCCTACTTTCTTCTATGAGGACACGGTTACCCTGAAACCCAAATAACAAAGATTCAACAAGAAAAAGAATGACAGGTCAATTTCCCTTATGAACATAGACAATAAAATGCTCAATAAAATATTTGCAAACTGAATCCAAAAACACATAAAAATATCACAAGTAGGCTTCATCACAGAGATGTGGGGATAGTTCAATATATGAAAATCAGTAATCCACCACATAAATAAACTGAAAAAAAAATCACACGTGCACACGTATACGATCATCTCATTAGATGCAGCAAATGCCTTTGACAAAATCAAACACTTCTTCATGTTAAAAGGCCTGGGGAAATTAGGGATACTCCATCAAACTGAAGAAGGCACCGTCACTCAGACAGCGGTAGCCTACAGAGTGGGAAAAGATTTTTTCCAACTCCTCACCTGATAAAGGATTAATATTCATGATATATAAAGAACTCAGTAAACTATATATCTAAAAACAAAAACAGAAACAGAACAAACCTCTACAAAATCGACTAATCTGGCCCCTCTGCACATATGGAATATTTGTGTAGCTTGTTTTTTATGTGAGACTGCTAACAGCTGGAGCAGGGGTGGTATCTGACTGTTGCCTGCCTTTGGGACCCTTTCCCTCAGCTGGTCTGCCTTTTCTAGTCTCAATAGGAAAGGATGACCTAGTCTTACTGCAACTCAATATGCCAAGGCTGTATGATTTCCATGGGAGGTCTCCCCTTTCTGAAGATAAAGGGAGAAAGAGTGAATAAAAGAGAGGTGAGATGGGGTAGGGCACTAGAAGGGAGGAGAAACTGCTTAATATGGTTATTGGGATCTAAAGTAAATAAACAAATTAGCTAAAGTAAATAAACTAGTTAATTAAAAATTTAAAAAAGGAAAAAAAATTTCTATAATTGGTAGAAAGTGGCATTAGGATATTTTTCACGGGCGTGTCCAAACTTATATATAAGTGCATAAGACATATTCAATAGTAAAAGTGTAAAAGTTGATTTGAAGCTTCACCATCTCAAAATGGCTATTCTAATCCTACAGAATTTGAGTGAGATGTATAAAACTTGACGTCTGGCTAATTTGAGTGCATGATGCTCTATTATAAAGAATTTACAAGTTTTTTTATAATAAAGTTTTAATTATGAAAATTAATATTTAAAATGTTATGTTTAGAATACAAAAATTATAGCCACTATCCTGTAACTGCTAGCACAATCTAAGGCCATGTTAAAAAAATGTACTTGGAGAAAGTAGAAAAGAAAGCTCATGTTTTAAGAGAAAGGATGACTAGTTATTTTCTGGTTTTTTTTTCTGGGACAAGTTAGTTTATATACTGAGGATATTAATGTGAAACTACTATAAATACAAGTGATTTACTGTTTTATTTTAAGCATCTTCAAAACAGAGATAACAGCTGCATGGATAATAACCATATTAAGCATCCAGCTTTTATAATTTACCTATTACAAGACTAAACTTATCTTTGAGGTAATACAGAATTAAGTGGCAAGCTTAGCAGGCAGCTCTGAATCTTCAGTGTTTGATTTCTGCACAGCTCAATTTGTCTGCGTTGGTGCAGACGGAGCTGCTTCACAGCCAGGGTGCATTTTCCTCTCCTCGGGGAAGTTGACTGCCTTGGATTGTGCAGAGCCTGTCATTTTAAGGCATTACAAAGTCCCTTTGCAAATATTTATTATTATTCCAGCGCTGAAACATTTTTACTAGTTGGCTTTAATGCAGTGTCTCAGAAGAGTTTTCATCTCCATGCATGAGTATTCACTTACTGGTTTTGGAATAGAGTGTTTTCTACATTGTTCTCCATTGTTCTTCCTATGACAGCTCCAGGCAGCATGGACAGTTTCTTCTGACATATATCATGGAGGAAGACAGGCCATGCTCCTTCAGCGAGTTATTTACAAAATACAGACTCTTTGAAAAGGTGAAGGCAGTGGGACAGCTCCCCGTTTACCAATAATACTAAAATAGTTTGTAATTTCTGGAATGTGTTTAGTTTTTTTTCTTGTGACACTATTGAAAACCTTGTGCATTACTCTTATTATATGTGCTATAAAATAAAATATTTACTGATGAAAAATTCCCCCAAATAATCCGATTAAAAATGAGATACAGGTCTAAACTGAAAATTCTCAGGAGCAGAATCTCAAGTGCCTGAGAAACACTTAAAAACTATTCAACATCCTTAGCCATCAGGGAAATGCAAAGCAAAACTACTTTGCAATTCTGTCTTATACCTGTCAGAATGGCTAAGATCAATAACAAGTGACAGCTCAGGCTGGTGATGGTATGGAGCCAGGGGGACACTCCTGAACTGCTGGTGAGAGAGGAAACTTGTTTAGCCACTTTGGAAATCAGTGTGGCCTATTCTCAGAAGGCTGGGAATTGATCTCTCTCAAGATCTATTTATAGTACTCTTGGACATATACCCCAAAGGCCCCCCCATCCTACCGAAAGGACACTTGATTATCCACGTTCATTATGGCTTCATTCATAATAGCCAGAAACTGGAACAGCTGAGATGTCCTTCAACAGAAGAATGGATAAAGAAAATGTGGTACATCTAAACAATGGAGTATTACTCTGCCATCAAAAAATGACACCATGAAGTTTGCAAGCAAATGGATGGAACCAGAAGAAAATCATTCTGGGTAAGATAATCCAGAGTCAGAAAGACAAATATGGTATGTATTCACTTATAATTAGATATTAGCAATTAAGTAAATGATAACCAAGCTACAATCTGTAGACTCAGAGGTTACATGAAGAGGAAGTATTTGATGGAGATGCATGGATCTCCCTGGTAGAGAACTGAATAGATTTTATGGGTCAACTTGGGGTAGATAAGGATGAGCATAGGGTAGTTAGGTAGCAGGGGCGATAGGGTGGAGGGAGACAGTGTGGAGAGAGAGATAGCTGGGTTTATCAGCTTTTGAAGGATGATATAAAAACCTAGTGCAGTAGAAATGTTCTAAAATATATGAATGTGATCCTAATGAGGTCTCCTAATAATGAGGGATACAGAGTACCCACCTCTTATTACCAAATGAGGCTTCCAGTAGCAGGACTGGGTTGCATTCAATTGAGTTGTTGGCCAAGAGGCTCCAAGGGATATTCCCCAGGCTGTTGCTAAGACAAAGGATTGCTCTCTGTAAACTGATAGCAGAGCCTCTTTGCCAAGGACAGCACACACACAACTTTGTGAACATAGAAAAGTCCAGATAGTACCTACTTGGAGTCTTCACCCTTATGGTCTAGACGTTTTTGCACAGAGAGGTGGTCTGCAGGCTACGAAACGAGAAACACAAATATCAACCCAACCACAAAACCTTAGACCTCGAATCTGTCCTTCCTGCAAATATGTTACAGGAGTGGTGGCACAGAACTTGTAGGAGTAGCCAACCAATGTCTGATTTGACTTAAGGTCCACTCCATGAGAAGGAACCTATATCCAACACTCTTTATGTACCCAAGAACCAGTGACTCAACAGCCCAGAAATTCAGGGTAAAACCAAACACTACTGGTCTAAAGGAAACAAACAAAAACTATCAATAAAATGATTTCTAATGATATTCTCCTATAATAACAGATCAGTGCCTAATCCAGTCATCATTAGAGACGTTTTTCCTGCAGCAGATGGGAACAGATGCAGAGATCCACAGCCAGACATCATATACAGAGAGAGTCCATAATTTATTTATTTTTATTTTATGTGAGTTGATGTTTTGCCTGCTTATATGTATGTCTACATGAGGGTGTTGAATCAGAGAATAGGAGTTACAGTTGGGAGCTGCCATGTGAGTGCTCAGAATTAAACCTGGTTCCTTTGAAAGGGATAGAGAATCTAAATGGGATGTCTCCATTACAGCCATCTCCTCAGAGCTCAGGGACTCCTAGGAGAGAAGAGGTGGAAAGAGTATAAGAGCCAGAGGGGACGGCGAGCACAGGGTGAACAAGGTCCTCTGAATCAATTAAGCAAGGGGCACATGTTCTCACAGAGACTGAAGCAGGAAGCACAGGGCTTGCATGGGTCTGTATCAGATCCTCTGGATATACATTATAGCGCCTATGTTAGTGTTTTTATGGGACTCTTGACTGTGAGAGTGAGTGGGTCTCTGATTCTTCTTCCTGAATTTGGGACTCTTTCTCTCTTATTCAGTTGCCACGTCCAACTTCACTCTGAAGTATTTGCTTCATTTGATTATATTTTATGTTGTCATATTTTATTGCTATCTTTTAGAAGCCTGCTCTCTTCTAATGAGAGATAGAAAGGGAGTGGATCTTAAAGGGAGGGGAGGGAGGGAGGAATAAAGGGAGAAGAAACTGTAATCAGCATATATTATATAAAAAAGAATTTATTTTCAACAAAAGGTTGAAGGAGTGTTTGTATGAGTACATATCTATGATATTCTGTCAGTTATGTGCAATATAATAGGAACCGTATAGTACCAACATAGGCAGGGATTAAATTATACCAATAAGGCAAGATAAGACGTGATATTTGAAGTTCTTTTCAATACACAGTTGCATTAGATGACTAGGGATAGGTTAACAGTGATATTTTTAGATTATGGCAAGAGACTAATCCATCTTACAGCTGGAAAACACCATCATTTGATAAATGTCACTTGCTGGGGTAGAATTAATGGAAGGAGAGTGAGAAGTTAAGTAAGCCTTGAAAAGAGATTCAAGAAGGGTTCACTTGAGTGCTTCCTTGGCTCTAGATAGATTGGGAAATAGCGAACAGAGCTCAGAACAGACTTCCAATGGCCAGCTCTGACCTTTCTCCTACTCGAGGAAACTATTAACAAAACAGATGATGACGCTTCAGGCTAAGAGACCTAAAAACATCTTTGTTTTGAATGAGTACTCTTCTATGATATTCCCCATCATAGAAAATACCAGCATTAGTTTTCATGGCATAAAGGGAAAGACTGTTTGTAGCAGCCCTGTGCATCAGCATATTGACTTAAATCTGGAAAGAGGCAAATGTGCACCATCTTATTTTGAATGAACACTCGACAGTGCTATCAGATAAAATTACAAGCTATATGGCAATGGTAAGGAGCCTTGTAATTAAGCCACTCTAATTGAATCCTTTATCTTTTTTAATAGTTACCCTTGGCTGCAGTTTATTAGCAAACATTATCTAACAAAGTACTCTATTGTATAGGGTAGTTTGAACAAAACAGGAGCTGTTTTAAAGAACCAGTAAGCAAAGCATTGAATCTGAAATATACTGTTGTCTTGAAGCAGCCAGGCAAGTAAGTGCTGCTCCATTGAGTAAGTGCTAAGTATCATTTTCTTTCCTTCTTTCTTTCTTTCTTTCTTTCTTTCTTTCTTTCTTTCTTTCTTTCTTTCTTTCTTTCTTCCTTTCTTCCTTTCTTCCTTCCTTCCTTCCTTCCTTCCTTCCTTCCTTCCTTCCTTCCTTCCTTTCCTTCCTTCCTTCCTTCCTTCCTTCCTTCCTTCCTTCCTTCCTTCCTTCCTTCCTTCCTTCCTTCTTTCTTTCTTTCTTTCTTTCTTTCTTTCTTTCTTTCTTTCTTTCTTTCTCTCTGTTTAAGTAGAGGACATCTCTGGTGACTTGCAGGAGAAAAAGAGGCATTCCTTGGTGCTTTCGACTTCCACATAAAAACCACTACATTGAAAGAATTTAGATGCCCCCTCATGCTTCGAGAATAAGATAATTTTACTTTCATGTCAGTTGTGAGGTGATGAGAGAGAAGGCTATCTTGGGTCTCTATCCCAAGGTCAGTTTTGCCACATTATGCTTGAGTAATATGTTTGCAAAGGAGACAGCTTAGTCCTTGATTATCATTTGTAGCTTGAACTGACACATGCAAAACTAATACTCATCTTGGAAGTCACTCTCCTCAATGTTCATCTAAGAGATAGATGGCTTTCCCACACAAACAGGAACCAAGATAACTGCTTTGAGAAGCTAAACTTAGAAATGAGTCTTCAGACATGGATTAGTGACTATTTCTGTTCGACAAAACTCAGTTCCTTAGGACAGCACACAATTATTCAGATTCTATAGGTTGGGAGCCTGGATGTGGCATATTTGGGTGTTTATGGCTTCTGGTTTATGACAAGTCTCAAATCTTGGCTGTGGCTGAAGAAGATGTTTCAAGAGTTGGGACAGGATGTTCTAATGTGGTTATTGATCTGGTTCAGTTTCTTGTGAGTTGCTAGGCTCAGGACCTCTGTTTTCTGCCACAAGAGACTCTCTAGAGGCAGCTCACAAGATGGCCACTGTCTCTCTTAAACAGAGCGCATGCATAGCATGCAGGAGAGTGAAAAGGGAGGTCCAGATGGAAGACATGGTTTCTTTGAAACCTAATCTCAAATATGACACCCTACCACTTCTGTTATTTTCTGTTTGCTTCAAAAGTCACACAGCCCAGCTCCCACTCAAGGGGAGACAGTAGCCCAAGGGCCTGACTAGAAGGAGACAGCAATCATTGGGGTGACATTACAAACTATGAACTGTTAAATGAAAAACTCAGAAAATAGAAGTTGCTTTGAAAGCATCACGTTTTAGCCCGACTTTTACTTGGAATTCTTCTTTGTGATCCCTTTTCCTCATTTTGGAAATTTTTATCTCTGGGGACTTTTATTGAGTGTCTACTTCTTAGACATGTTAACCCTAAAATTAAACTAGTGGTGTGATCTCAGCATGACTAGCTGCAGCTCATCTTCCTCTGACATAACACACTTTATTTAGAAAGAGCTCTAGAACCTTCCCAGACTGCTTGCACATTCATTATCAATTTTAAACATACAGGTTGTGAATGCATTTAAGATACCAGCTTCTGGATTGTATGCTGTAACTGCAGCTCTTAAAACCTTCTTTACAGAAGGATCACACACGAAGTGGAAAATATCTTGTAGCCAGGCTGTTGCATCTGTCGGATAAATATCAGGCTGCTATTATTTGAAGATTTTTCTCATTAGTTTTGGGTTATTAATTGCCAAGTCCCCATTCCTTTCTTTTGAGAAAGAGGATGTGTGTAAAATACATTTGTAAATAAACACACCAGTGGCATCTGCTTTGAGGGTAATTGCTGTTTTAGAAGTGCAGATTTGCTATGTGTTCTAAATCTCTACTGTGATAAATACAGTCTGGTCAACAGTTTAATTAGTCCAGTAATTCTTGAGACCAGACACTGCCAAGACTGATGCCATGGTCTGGGATCATGGTGATGAGTTACATACACTCTTGCCCTTGGGGAATCCTCAGTTCTCAGGGAGACAATCAGGTAAGCCACTAATAACCAGATAATGTGATGAGTGATTCAAGACAGCTGTATGCAGGCTGTGAGGATGAGGCTAATTGTGCTGGACCTTCTAATTTAGCATCTTAGAGGATGGTCCACAGAGTGCATGGCATGTTCTGGAGAATGATGTGTGCTTGTGGGTTGGAAGATATTTTCTTCAAATTCCCTGTCATACACAATGTGATGGCTAATCATGTTGTCATCTGATTAGATCTGTGATCAATTCAGAGGCTTACCTCTGAGAGCGCCTGGGAGTGTTATCTCTTAGACAGATTTCCTGAAGGAAGAAGACCCTTCACCTGATTGAGCTGTGTCTTCTGGTGGAAGTCCAGATATAAAGAGGTCTAAGAGATGGCAGAGTAGCCCTGATGTCTGCTCCCTTTGCTCTTTCCTGAGGAGTACACTCGCCCTGTTGCTATCATTATTGTGCTTTTATTTTCTGTTGACACTGAAACACTGAATATTTGTGATTCCAAAGATCCTAAAGACAGGTGATCCTCCTTCAGGGAAAGCCTGGGAGCTTTGAGGCACCAGCCTTGTGTTCTAAGTAGCTTCTAGTTTCTCAGTCTCTCCAGTGTATAGACAGTCATTCACTGTGTATCCCAGGCTGGCTGCAGACCTCAAACTTGTAGCAACCAATCCTCCTGCCTCCATCTTTCCATTTGCCCTTCCTCTTTCTCTCCCCCCGCAGACATATACATATGACTACGTTGCCTGCATGTATGTCTGTGCACCACATATGTGCCTGGTGCCAGTAGAGGTCAGAAGTGGGAGCTGGATCTCCTAGGACTGGAGTCACATATGGTGGTGAATCTCTCCTTGGGTGTTGAGAATCCAACCTGGGTCTCCTGGAAGAATAGCCAGTGTCCTTAACCACCAATCCATCTCTCCAATCCCTGTAACTTATTTTTCTTATTACATTTATATTTTTACAGTCCAGTCATTACTCACCTCCCAGTCTGCCCTCCCACAGTTCCTCATCCCATTCCTCCCTCCCATATTCCAAGAGGATGTTCCTGTCCAATATAACTTATTTTTGATTGTAAAAATTTTGGGAAAGTGCAAATACAGTCCCTAGCTTCTTATCTAAAGAACTCACTAAGGACCCACCCCCTACACATACACACATTGTGTAATAAACAATCTAAGCAGTAAGATGCTCTGATAAGGCTTCCTAGTGATTCAGAGGAGTGCATTCTATCCATATTTGTTGTTGCTGTTGTAGAAATGGCTTTCTGCAAAATCTTGAAGGCTCCATCCATCTCAATAACCTTTTCATCTTGTAAAGTGGAAACTCTCTACCCATTAAATAATAACTTTTTATTTCATCCTATCTCCCCAGGTACTTGGAAGTCACTAATCTGCTTTCTGCTCATATAATTTTGATCACTCAACTGCCTTACGTAAGTGAAATAATCTACATCCACATGTGTCAAATTTCCTTCACATCTGAATAATATTCTATTGTAAGCATATGCCACATCATACCCATCTATTAATCTGTTAATGGACACTTGGGCTGCTTCCACATTTTAGCTATTTAGAACAATGCTGCTATAAATGTGAATATACACATAATTTTTCTAGACCTTATTTTCAATTTACTGGGTATGCACCCGTAAGTGAAATTGCTGGACCACACTTTAACTCTGTTTTTAATTTCTATCTCTTCTAGGGATTGAGCCCAGGCCTTTAAGGATACCAATCTTTCTGTCTCTGTCACACCACTACACTTTTTGCTATATGAACTAATTTATTTTTGGACCCCCTATCATTTTCTATAGTGGACATAGTATTTTACATCTCTACTCATAGGGTATGCAACTGAGAAATTTGATGTTGAATAATTTCTCCACAGGTTCATCGGTGAGATAGTTAGTAATTTTGTGAGTGTTTGTGTGTGTGTGTGTGATTCTACCAATTCAGAAATATGAGTTTTACACTTGCAAAATTCTCAGTATGGTGATGAAACCAGTTAATATAATGGTTAAAATCCTGTGTGATAAATTATATGATACATTTATATGAAAAAATGTAAATGACTTTAGAAAAGAATATATTTATCTTTTATTATGTTTATCAATCAAAAAGTAAACACTCATCAGTATAATGCAGGAGAATCCATGGCTAATCTGTTTCTTTCTCACCAGTAAAATATACATTATTGGTAAGTACCAAGTCTACTTCATTGGTCAACTCCTTTGAGTTTAGGACGTGTGATGTCCAGTGGTTTATTTCTCTATACACAGGAGAGAGGATAATGATCATTAATAGGTAATGTATGTTCTAAGAATTAGAAGAGGTATAATGTCCAAGAAGAGCAGTTTGGTAGAAGATTTAATATAGGCTTTGAACAAATATCTAAGTAGACTAGGTAACACAAAGAACTGGGACAAAGGAATGTGTGCTAGGTGGAGCGAGTGCTTAGGGCAGCCCAGCATGTTGGGTTATTATTTATATAGCAGGTGTAGGTATTTCAATGGGGGGAAGTGGGAAACCAGCAAAGGACAAGATTGGAAAGGTGGGCTGAGGCTATATCATGAACATTACAGTGCTGGGCTAAGAATGTAGAATTAATTTTAAGTTAATGATTCCCAGTTTGGATGCTGGATATCTCTAGAAACCTTGCACTTAAAATTCTTGATCTCTCTCTCTCTCTCTCTCTCTCTCTCTCTCTCTCTCTCTCTCTGTCTCTTTCTGTCTTTCTGTGTGTGTCTGCCTCGCTAATTCCTTCCATCCCTCATCATACTATGTAGCTCAGAGATTGAATAGATAGTTTTCAAGTGCACACAAGTTAATGTAACTACTATCCACTGAAGATATGACTTAGCAAAAATAAAAATTGATTATATATAAATATCTCATAATGATTTTATCATGCTATTTCTCCAATGAACAAGTTCTAATAGTAAACAACTATTGTATAAAATCTTGTATTATATAAACTATGTTGATGTTCTGAAGTAGTTTCAATCTTTAAGAATTTTAAGGTCACTCTGTTCCAGCAAATATTCTTTCTCTGACAAAATAGCTGAGATTGAAGGAATAGGTTTATGTTAATTCATACTTTCTTTTTTTTTCCTACTCAATTGGAATAATATATTGGCTTTTTGGAAAATGTGAACAATTAAAAGAAAATGCAAAGACTTACAAAGAGACAGCATTGAGGAATACAAAAGAAAACATTCTTGGGCTGACAACTATAAAATGTCTAATCTATAGTTTACAGAAAGTATCTAATTTTATAAATTTTTTCTCAAATCGTAATTAATTCACACAGGGGTTATAAACACAGAAAGGCAGGATGTGGGGAAGGGAATGACACTGGAGTGTGGGTGTTCAGGGGGAATACAGATATCTTCAGAACCAGGTATCGGCTAGGTGAAGGTTCAGGGGACAAGTCACTATGACTCTGCCTATGACTCGTTTGTCCTTATCTAAGTTGGTATTGTCTGCCAAGGCTACCTATTTACAAGGTCTATGACTACTCAGGCTTATAAATTTCCGCAAAAGCTGCATGTTGACATTAGCTTATAGCCATCTGTTTCAATGTTTTTCCACTGAGACCCAAGACTTGGTGTTAGTATACATGTATGACAGGCCTATTGCTGATTTTAGGCCTATGGCTGATTTTAGGCCTACAGTGTGTAAGCAGGGCTGCCCCTGAGATCTCCTCCCTTCTCTAAGTATAGAAGGGCTGTGGCAATTCTAAACTTGCGAAGGCAGGGATAGAGGCCTGACCACCAGTATTTGAAGGGGACCTTGTAATGGCTCCAGTCCCCCTGTTGTTGTCCAGTGAGGCATGAAGGCCATACCGGTCCCGATGTCTTTTTCCTGGAGAGGGGATACTTTTGACATCAACCCCTATGCAGTCAGGCTTGTCTCTCAGGGAACCCAGATAGATATTTTTATCTTTTATTTATATTCCCTTGCAATGCTTAGCCTCGCAGCCTAAGCAAGAATTCAGATCGCCTGTCAGAGGGGGTTCTGGGTGGCCTCTCTCTGCCTGGTCTAGGGGTGGAAGTACCCTCTTTTAGGTTGGGTGGAGATGGGTTTTGGAAACACCCTGCCTAAAGTTACATAAATACATACATACATAAAGTATGGAGTCTTGTGGTCCTCCATAGCTAACTTATGATAATGTATCTGAATAGGTTTTGCTACCAAATTATTTATCTGTTGTATCACAGAGTTAGTCCGCCTATTTGAGGGCCAGGGACCAGCAGAAAAAAAGCAAAAAGAACCCAAATAATGGTCCCAAGATGGAAGGAAATAGGGTTGACAACCTTGGAGAGGCTGCAAACCAATTCTTGTACCAGCATTCATCTGTCTCTTTCTCTCTCTGATTTTTCTTAGGGCCTTCACTACCTATTTCATGCTCTCTTTAACCCTCCTTGTCTTGTCTATGTAAAGGGAACCTTCTTCTTTGAGGGTTGTATACAGTCAAGAGCTGTATACAGACTTTTCTATTGTACTAGAGTAAATCAAGTCCAATAAGGATCTTTGTGATTTTAGGAGGTCTCTTCAGACAGTGAAATGAGGGATTTCTTCAGATTAGTGATGTCAATCTCTAGCTGTTTGATGTTCTTGTCAGTGGCCCTTCAAAGGTCTGAGTAGTATAAGTTCGGAGGCCAGCATCTGGATTAGAACTTCTAACAGCAGACATCACGGGTGATTCATTTTTACCTGGGATGCTTCCTGAGTTAAAGCTCCTGGGAGTCCCCCTTTCTCTCGGTTTTCTGGGGTTGGGTACGGAGCTGCCACCTGTGACCTGTTCTATGCTCGGGCCCAGACCGCTGATTCATACTTTCAGGGGCCATATTCCATCATCACTTGACTCTATTGTATCAGGGCCCATGGTGAATCTGAGCATCATGATAGAAATAATGTGAGAGAACAAAACTGTTCACTTCATGACATATAAGAAGAAAAGAGTGTCATCGACCCTCTAAAAGACATTCTCATTAAATTGATCCTCCCAGTGAGTTCTTATCTTGTAGAATTTTTATCACTCCCTAATAGTCCCATTATCTATTGACAAAATCTGGAGCACATGAAGCTTTACTGAGAGTCTAGATTAAATCTGTTACAATATTCTAGGAGATATGAATCCCTTACAAAGTTTTGGGCTACACAAGGTCACATTGAAATGGTGTTTGAGAGGGGAAAGAAAACTGGTGATGCTCTGTAAATTAAGAGTAGAGAGATAACATACAACCAAACCACTGAGATACCTTTAGTGGGCTGAGAATAATGAGCTGCTAAAGCACTGTATGACATTAGATTAAAAAATGGTATGTCAGGAGTGAATTTGTTTCTTCTCATATCCATTCTTTGTGCTTCCTTTGGCTGTTGGCATGGTTGTTAAAACTCTGATAACATGGCAGTAATATTTGTCAATGAAGAGTACTGGAAAGATAATGGAGGAAGAAAGGGTTTATATTGCTGGTCTCAATGTCTTTCTAGACTTCCATGGCACACATTAATCCTTTTAGGGCTAGCTCTTCGTGAATGGTCAATGTCTCTTGTATTTGGCACCAGCATCATTGGTAGCTCCCTCACTCAGTGACCAATAGCTTCTTTTACCTTTTGTGTAACTTTGTAATTGAACCACCAGTGAAGGACCACCCTGTAGATGGTTTCTCCTAGCACTCCAGTGGGCAGATCTGAAGCAAATTCCCCTTGTATAGTTAATAGCTCAGCAGTTCTGAGCCGCTCAGTGATCTCCATCTAGATATCTCTAGTGAGGTCTGGGTCAACCCTATTGGAGTGATGCTATTCCTGTCGGGGGAGGAGCATTAGTTCAACCCTAAGGAGAAGATTGTGTTAGTCATAGTTTTCTTGATCTTGGTGATAAGTGAAAGTCACCTGGTAAAAGCATTTTGAAGGCTCCAAACACAATAGGCTTCTTGAAAAAGCTCTTTGTAATTAGAAAGTAATAGGTTAATATTTCCTTTGAAATATTTCCTATAGTTGATAATATGATAGAAATGTTATTTTATTTTAGTTATTCACTCATAAATATATAGCAACACTTACAAGGCTATGGGAATTCTGTGGTATGACACTTAGATTTTTATCATTGATGGATGTCTGTACTTTCTGAGAAATATTTAAAAATGTATAGCTGTTCTTTTTAAGTATGTTGCTTCTGTGTTAATATGCACACTATATGCATGCCTAGCACCCATGGAGGTCAGAAGAAGGAGTCATAGTGCCTGGAACTAGAGTTACAGATTACAGTGAGCCACCATGTTAGTGCTAGAAAGTGAATCAAGATGCTTTGCAAGAGCAAATGCTCTTACCTGCTGAGCCATTTCTTGTAGCATCTACTTTGAGAAATTGTTTACACAAGGCCCTTCGCATATATGCTTTGGTTGTTAACTTGATGTTTTTGTGGAGCCATTAACAGTGATAGTGGGTGTGTTTCTGACTCTTTTGGCCAATATTGGGACTCTTTTCCCTCTTTTGGGTGGCCTTGTCACTTGATATGAAGGTTTTTGCCTTATCTTATTGTATCTTGTTTTGCCATGCTTCTTATCTCTTGGAGGCCTACGCTTTTCTGAAGAGAAAAGGAGGGAGAGTAGATATTGAGGAGAGCGGAGTTGTGGGAGGGCTGGGAGTTGTGGAGAGAGGGGAATCTGTGGTCTGGGTGGGATGTATTACATGAGAGAAGAATCTGTTTTCAATAAAAAAGACTTATTTTTTATTATATTTATGTGTATATCTGTGTGTCTCTGTGTGTGTATGGTCACCTATGTGTGGATG